TGTATATAATCATGTGATAATTTTAATCTACAGGACAGGGGGACTGATTGGGCAGAAACCCATCCCAGTCCCCTACCCAAAATTATTAAATTGGTTAGAATCAGAGAAACAGAGAATTTAGGAAAATGATTATACAAAAAAACACTATTTTGCAACTTTCCTCTTAACATCAGAGCCCAATGCAATTTCAGGGCCACAAACCCTGCTCTGAATTGCGACCTCCTGTGCTTGAAACGAGCTCCAGATTCTCTCCAGAGTTGTGACGATTTGGTCACAGTGCCATCCTTATCCTAAAGTAGGGATCGTTGCATGCAACTTTTCGACCAGCATGCCAGCAGCCTTCTCTGGTCTGGGAGGATAGTGAAATGTCATTGACGATTGATGCAGTCTTGGTAAACTCCAGAGCTTTGCGTCCCCCCCCCCAGATTTCAACATCATCATATCATCGGGAGAAACGTGGTCAGATTAGCCTTTGTACATAAGGAACATGAGAGAATGACTGTAAAATTCAAAGTAGCATGAGTGCTTCAATGCCTCTAAAAATTTCCGATAATCAAACGTCGCATACTTGAAATGTCTCATATTCAATGGAGTGCTACCTTGACATTTGTAATTATAATAATATTAATAATAGTATTATTATTACAATTACACAAAGCAAAATATTATCAATGAAAATCTTGTAATTACCCAGCAATGATCTGCTCCACGTTTTGATTCCAATTAAATTATTTATAAGCTAAAATAAAAATATCAATTAAAATATTTAAAAAGTACCTCTGGTTAGTTATTAACACGCTTCTTTAGGAGACCCAAACCAAACCAAACCAAACAACAACACTCACGTTTTGTCTGTCAAAAAATAAATTGTTTTTTGTTTTTCCAAAAAAAAAAACCAATAAGATAAATAATTAATGTGTACGCGTTGATCAAATAACAAACTTCTTTTTATTTTTAAAAAAATATAACAATGCCAAACAATCGAAGTCAAAGTAATAAAAGAAGAAGACAGGAAAAAGAAACAAGGAATGATGGGTAAGTGTTTTAAGAATAAGGATAGTGGTGGTTATCGCCCGCCACTCGTCGTTACTCTAGTTTAATATAATAAATTCATAATTTAAAAAAAATCTTTTTTTAAAATAAATTTTTCAAGCCTAGTGTCATCATTAAAATACATCGACAATCTTATAGATGATTTAACAAATCTGTTAAATGAATCAGACTTTTATGATGTAGAAATTAAAGTGGGAACAGACAAGAACGTTAAAATTTTTAAGGCTCATTCTACAATTTTAAAAGCAAGATCTTTGTATTTTAAGACAGCTCTATCTAATAATTGGATCAAAAAATCAGAAGATGGTAGTATTATTTTATTCAAAAAAGAAAACATCTCCCCAAAAATATTTGAAATTCTTTTAATGTAAGAATTTATATATATATTTATTTATTTATTTGAATCAATAAGTAATATATTTTTTTTTTGAAAAGATATATGTACAATGGAATTGTTGAGATAGAAAATTTGAGCCCTTACGAAATTGTAGAACTTCTTGAAGCATGTGATGAGTTGGATTTTAATGAATTGATTGGTGATTTACAAAATCATTTATTAGAAAAAGGAAAAGGATGGATTAAACAAAATTTAATTTATTTTAATGAAACTTCATTAAAATATCAATCATTTGGCTTGCTTCAAAATTATTGTGAGGAAATATTTAGTGAAGAACCAGAATTATTTTTAAAATCTGATGATTTCAAGAATATTGAACAATCTATGCTTATATCCATATTAAAAAAAGATAATTTAAAATTAGAGGAAATTGATACTTGGGACTATGTTATTCAGTGAGGAATTGCACAAATTGAAAACTTGGAAGAAAAGAATGATCTATCAAAATGGGACCAAAATGATTTTGAAATGTTGAAATTTTTATTTGAAGATATTATTCCATTGATAAGATTCAAAGAAATTAAACTTGGAGATTTTAATGAAAAAATTACACCATATAAAAAAGTTTTTGATGAAAAAGTTTATAAAGAGCTTCTTCAATTCTATACTGATAATTGGCAACCACAGCTATTACCACAAAAAGGTCCAAAAGCAAGAACAGGAAAATTGTTAAATTTACAAATAAAATATTTAATTTCTAGCTGGGTTGATTACAAAAATGATTTATATAATATAAATAATTTACCTTATGAATTTAAATTAATACTTAGTGGAACTAATGATGGATTCTCTAGATCAGTGTTTGAGGATAAATGTTATGATGTTGAACAAACTGTTATCATTATGAAACTTAAAGATACAGGCGAACTGGTTGGTGGCTATAATCCAGTTTGTTGGAATGTAAAAGAAAAATCTCTAAATGATGAATATTCGATTAAAACAGATAAAAGTTTTATTTTTAAGATAGAGGATCAAATAAATAATTCAATATTAAGCAGGGTTAAAGATCCTAAAAAGGCAATATATCATGGTGGCCAAACCATTGACATTGCCATAAATGATATAAGGTTTCATGAAGAAACCATAGATTTTAATGATGTTGAATTATACATCAGCATTGATGGTAAACCTCACCTGATTTATTTCTATCATTGCTATGACAATGATTTAGATCTAAAAATTTATAAAGAGGCTTATTTGTTAGAAGAATTTGAAGTGTATAAATTAATAAAGAAAATTAATAATCATTGAATTGCAAATTAATATATTTTTTATTTCTTTTAATTTTTTATCTAATGATAAAAGATCCAATTCACACAATGTTAAATGTAGCCTACTCTGTTTCTACTCTAAAGTTGGTGTCTGTAACTGTTTTGCATTTTCTGCAACCTTTGCAACCCCTGAAACTGTCTGCAACACTGTCTGCAGCCTCTGAAACTGTCTGCAACTATAATTATGATGACTTAGTATTGTGAGATAGTAAATTGTGGACCAACTAATTGTCACAATTAGTGTCAATCAATAAGAATCAACTTACTATTACTCTTACTATTACTGTAAAAAATAAAATATGGAATTTCCATATGTTTTATACATACATAAAATTTATATATGATCTGAAAATTTTTCCCTTTTCAATGTAATAAGTATACATGCAGCCCAAATTATTTTGCTGATGTCAAAAGTTGAAATTATTCCAATGTCAAAAGTTAAAAGTACAACACTATTAAAAACTTAAGTGTAACACCCCTTTATGACATGTGTAACCCCTTTATGACAGTGTCAAAATACTTTGGGCTGCATGTATAGTAATAAGAGATACAGAATAGGTGTGGAACATAGTTGTTAGCCAAAATTGTTTTTGCATTTGCCAGAATATTTTAGCACATTTTGGCTTTTACACATTCTCTATATTAATAGACATAAAAAAACCACCCATAATTTTGGCTATTGGGCCAAAGAATTCAAATAATTTTGGATATAATTTTGGCTACTAATAAAATTAATTCTGGCTACTATGAAAAACTATTTCAGCATTTTGAATTCAGCCACCGATCATTTACTAAGAGAAGCAATTTTGGCTAACAACTATGGTGTGGAATAGGTATGGAATATGTAACTTTTAAAAGATAACAAAGACATGCTCACCTAGATAGTAAATTATTCACCTTCCAATTTTCTTTTCTTTCTAAATTCTTCATGATTTTGTGGCAAAGCTATTTTACTGGTTATGATTTTTCTTTCTTGGTAAACTTCATAGGTAATCCTTTCTTTTCTTAGATAAGCTTCAAGTGTCTAAGTATCATTTATTTTGAAAATATAAGGAGCAATTTTTTCGCCTTGTTCCTTTTTTAAAATACTTCTGATAGTACTATAATTCTTGGGTTCCATGGTAGACTTAATGTAAATTAATTTCATATTATCATTTTTATAGAGGTAATTCTATATTATATATATTATTTAAGATAACAGATTGATATTATAAAACTGATAATTATAATCACATTACAAATGACTAAATTTTGATCCCTGAAATCTCTAGTGATACTGATGTTCACTTTGTCTGGTTTTGTTGCAGCATGCCCATATACTAAAGGATGATTAAAATGTTACACATAATTCCAAATTTGGGGGTTACAGATTGTACGACGTGAAATTCCTAAACACGCATTTTTTTTTGCAAAAAAACGCGTCAATTTTCACAATTTAATTTTTTCTTGCAATAAATAAAATTAATAAAAATAAAATAGATTTGTTTTTTTCATAATGAAAATTGAGAAAAATTTAGATGATATTTCTAATATTTTTGAGGATAGTGATAATGAAAAGGAAGATGAAGGAAAAGGAAAATCAGTCAATTACAGCGACATTAAAAATACTATTACTGACGCTGCTGAAAGAATGAATTATAATTATATGGATTTTGATGGTAATGGTGATGATGGATTTGTGATAGATGATGATGGTGCAGGTTATGTAGAACATAAACCGTATTGGGAACAACAACCAAGTGGTAATCATATCATCATTATTATTATTAACGTGATGAATGCTTAATGATGGAAATGATTTTATTATTTACTTTGTTTTTTTTATTAAAATAAAGATATAACAAAACCTCAAGAGCCTTTTCAGCCATGTTCAACACCTAGTAAAAATAATCGTCGTTATTTAGGTAAATTTGTTTATACTTATTTAGTAAATGGATATATTATTAAATATAAAGATTGATATTATTAGGCCTTATTCTAGCTCTAAAAAAAGTAAATATTAATTAATATTATAATTATTTTCTCATAAAAAAAATTTGTTTATAGTTTTAAATAATGTAGGAAGTATCAATAGTACAAAAAATGATTCCTACTCAATGATCAATGTAGAATTTCATAACAAGACACAAAATCGCGGTTATAATTTACATGATGATTTTAATTATTCGATGGCATGTCTTAATTTTCAAGGTGCATTATTTGCAGTAGGATCAAGCAAAGATAGCCCAAGTGTTTTATTTTTTAAATCTCAAAATACTTGGGCAATTAAAAATGAATGGATGACCACTTTTCCTAAAGATGAAGTTATTATAGGTACGATCAATCATATCAATATTAATGTAATTGATCAATCTATCAATAATATTTCTGTAATAATTATATCAAAAAAATAGGAATTGCACTAAGTAGTCTAGCGATAATTGTCGCAACTTCTAAAAATTTCATAAGATTATTCACGCTTTCTGGTGTACAACTTTATATCTTTGCATTGGATTCAGTAGTTTGTATGGATGCTTACCAAGAGTTTGCTTTGATTGTATATCATCTAGGAACAGGTTATCGAGGTAGTAACAGGTCTAATTGATTATCGAGAAATTTTATTTTGGTATTCAATCAATTAATTAACACTGATAAAAAAAATTTGTTAACTAAAGGATCGCAAAATCTTGGATATATGTTGTATAATGTAGAAACAAATGATATTGTTCAAAAAGAACAATTGCCAATATCTAAAGATTCAACTTTAGAATGGATTGGATTTTCAGATAAAGGGGTAATTAATAATTTATTCATCAATTATTTATGATTCTACAGTTTTAATAATAGTATCATCGTTTTTTATATAGTTACCAGCAATGTATGATTCTGAAGGAGTGTTATCTATTTTACATCGTCACAGACAATATCACCAAGCAAGATGGATACCTGTTTTGTATACTCGTAATAATCCAAACCCTGATGATGAAGCATCGTATTATTGGCCTGTTGGATTAAATGAAAACAAATTCTTGTGCATTGCTTGCAAGGTAAAAAAAAATATGAAACAGATACCAAAATGACAATAATTTTTTTAATAATAATATTTATTATAATAAAAAATCATTTATTTAAATAAGGATGGCGAAAGAATGCCACGTTATCCAAGGCAAAAGTTTCATGAATTTGATTGGCAAATCCCTCTTTTAAATCTTGATAAGCCAATTGGTAAAACTGAAGAAGTGTAAGTTTAAAATATGAGAACTTTAAAGTGTTAATCTTTTCTATTTTTTTTTTGATATAATAACAATTTTTTATTGATTATATAGATATGCCCGTATGAATCTATTAATAAAATTTGAGTGTGATGAAATCAGGGCAAAGAAAAAGTCAATTGATGAAGAAAAACAAAAAGAACTTGTTAAGAAACATTTGGAACTCGATAAAATGTTGTTAACGACTATAAGAGTAATTATATATTTATTTAAATTTTGGTGATTAAGTAAAAAATTTTTTTTGAATATTGGTAAATGACGATGAAATTAATTATTACATATTTAAAGACGTCATGTAAAGAATCAAGACTACAGCATGCATTAGATTTAGCAAAGTTATTAAATTCAACGAAATCCTTGGAATCAGCTATTAAAATTGCATCATTTTATGAGTCCCATTCGTTAGCTGAAAAAATACATAAATTAAAATCAGTAAGTAAATAATTATTTGTTCTTATGTATTTGTATATATGTATTATTTACTTATTTATAATTTTTTTTATCAGGATAAATTAATTAAACAAAATGAGAATTCTTAAACGTAAATTCAAAGAATTAGGAACGATTAATTATCTTTAGGTTGTAAACTATTTTTTTTTTAATAAAAGCAATATTTTGCTCATATAATTTTATTAGAATAAAGTAAATATAATAATTCACAAAATAACTTCTAAATTAACTTTATATGAGGCTATTCCTCTTGAAAATAATTATATATATATATATTTATATTTAAATTTAACATTTCAAAAAAAAAACAGATATGCCAAACAAAGTCTATGAAGTCTATTCAGTCTCAAATTAACAATTTTAACTGCACCATAGATAATTGTTGACTGATCCGGATATTACCTAGGTAATAGGAAGTCAGATCCAATATTAATGAAGTTGTTTATTAAAACTAAGTGAGAATTATTAGAATTTGAATTTGAAAGAGGTCTTGTGAACTATTAATTTGATATTATATCAATACCTTCAAAATATGATGGACGATATCTTGTGATTTTAAAACTTGAATTGTCAAATTCACAAAAAAAAACCGTATCTTTTATAATTTTATTAATTTTAAATAAATATTCTCCAAATTGTAATTAGTTTATTCTCCAATCCTCACTTCTCCATTGAATGACATGATCTCAAATAAGAATTTCATCTAAATCTAAATCATATTGTTTTTTAATAAAGATATAATAATAATCATTCAATATCTCGGTTCTTAAAGCTTAGGATGTTCAATAATTAATTCAAAGATAAATATCGATTAAATAATCTAGTATAATTTATCAGTGCACGCACATGTATTATTGTTTAATATCAAAGAATCTTGGGAGTGCCCGAAATGACCTCATTCGTCCTGGAAGTAGTGGTAAAGTTATTCTCACCGATGATGTGGGGGGGAACGCTCTGTATACGTATAATAAAACGCTTAATGACCTTATTTTGGCACCCCATATTTATATAATCGTTTCGTGTTACATAAGACGAAATTCAGAATGATTTTTTCCAATGGAATGAATTACCATTATTTACAAAACACAACAAACTATTAATTAACTTGAAAAAAAAAGACCTGTATTAGTGATATACGCGAGTTAACTGAAGCAGATTATGTTGAAATAAGGTAATATATTTAATTTAAAGATTGAAATTGAAGTGAGTTTAAAATAATTTGAATTTGAATTTGAATTAGTACTTTAAACTCTGTTAAATAAATAAATAAATACAAAGGTAAATGAATCTACAATATACATTCGTGCTTTTTACAATAATAACAACGATAGCCTTAATTAATATTTTTAGTTATATATAAATGTAGCCCAACAGAGGACTTTTGAGGAGGCACATCGGAGAACAACAATATGACAGCACTTTTATTTTCGGCACTTATTTTAATAAAATAGGAGAATTATTGGTTGTATTTGGTTTTTTATGTATATATATACAAAATAAAAAAAAATTTTTTGTATATACACATTTAATTTGTATCACATGATTTGATCATAAGTTTCGATTTAGCAGATCTCTCAATTTAATGGATAAATTTTCTGGAAAAAAATATTCGTTAAATCGAGACTCACTGTGTAATTCTATTTGGTCAATGCTTGCTGATATTTAGCATTGACAGATTCAACGCATTAAATAAACCATATTATTGTTATAAATTAGATAAGAAGAAATGAATCAGGACAATTAGATTTATCGTGAATTGCATGGTGGTAATGCAATTAAGTTTAATAAGTGATGCCAACATATTTGATAAAAAAGGCAATCCAGGTCAGTTTATTGATACTAATATGGCAAAAAATAACCTATAATTCGAAGTTTTCTAACTTTTCAAATATATGTTAATATGAAGATCATTTAATTAAGCAATTTTTGTTGTAATAGATTTTTTTAACATATATTTTACTCTTCATTGAGGAAAAAAAATTATATTGAACCCTATTATTATTAGATAATCATTTAATTATTACTTTTGAAGCCCCATAATTTCACAAGTCAGACTCATTTTCACGTATTTCTATTGATTCCCATTCCGCAATCGATTTTGGGACCCAGATCCAGTCTTGAACTGTTGGTACACCATCAGTGGAATTGGTGAACGCAAGCTTCTTTAACTCATTTATTTGGCCTTCGAACCCACTCTAAGAATCAAATATAAGTGTTATATTAAAGCTTTCATTAAATTTAATGATATATGTAATGTTATACTTACAATCAAAGCATAAAGTAATTTGAATATTTCAAAGAATTTTTCAATTTCGTTGAATGAAAATGGTAGTACCGCTGATTTAATCTGCGAAATTGTATAGAAGTGCTTTTTAACAAGACGAATCTCACTTAGCGTCATTCTATCACCTAATATAAATTACCACTGTAAGATTCGTGTTGTTCAAATGAACTAATACAGCAGTGAATACATTACCAATAACTTGTACCATGTATGTGCATATGTTCTCCACATTCTCTGCGTTCTTATCTAAATAGTCTCTCAGAAGGGATACCAGTCCAAACATTGCCTCCTTAATAAGTTTCTCAGAATCTTCTTTTACATGTTTTGGCACAGTGTTCTCAGGACCTCCTGATACTTCAATGAATATGATCTCCTTGTTATTAGAAACTTTCATACCAACACTATCTGCTTTATTGAGTGTTAAATTGAATCCCGGGAATAACACCTTCATTTCTTTGATACAGTCAAGTTGTACCTCAATCCAGTTGAATATATATTCTTTATAAACAGACTGTATCACCTTGAATAAAGGCACGATTCTTTCCACTGTGTACTTTCATTCCCCAATATAACGGTTTAACGGACCATCGCTGGTCATTGAAAAACTGAATTAAACAATGTAAGTTAATATATCTTGCCGAGAAAGTAGACATGTAAAAATCCACCCACAAGTCATAAAGAATGATCTCACAGATCTTCTGAAATTGATGGTCAGGGGTCAGTGGAGTCATGACAGTATTTTTGAATACATCCTTTCCGGACTAAGTGGGAGAATTTTTTTAATGTATATTCAGATATAATGTGTAAAAACTTCATGTTAACTTACTGATAATACATTAAGAAGCCAATCATGAACAGATCCTGGAATTATATCAACTTTAATTTCTTTCATTATAACACACTGCTGATTAATGACTACTGAAAAATGGTTATCCAGATATTTTACAGAATCTGCGAAAAGGGTAGGTTTTTGAGGAGTGGTCATCACAGTTTTGCTTTGCGATCTGGGAGGAGGTGTTTCAAACTGATGGAAACAATATTACTCAGGTATAATTCTTAGAAAAAATTAAGTTACATGAAAATTAATCTGACATCAACTTACACTATCATCATTTGTAGATCCTTTTTTACCTGAATTAAATATTGTAAAAAAAAGAAATGATAATCATTAACTTTTTAAAGTAATTAAAATATATTTTTATCACATACTTTGTTTGGTTTTTCTACGTAATCAAAATCCGTTTCCTCTTCTGATGAGCTTTTAGTATCTACTTTGTTTTTCCATTTCCTTGATTCCACTTTAGAATAAGATGGTCCTCCTTCCTCCTGATGGATGGCATAAAAAATAACATTTTTTAGTAATAAATCCTTTCCATAGAATAGCTGTAAACAAATTATGTTCATAATTGCAAATTTAGCAACCTCGTATTCATCATCTTTTAATTCATTGATAAGCATTTGATTTGTACGGTATCCCTAATAGAAATATTAGTTAGACCATTGTGGAATTTTTCCCAAGACTATTTCAAAGCCTACCTTCAAAGCTTTAACTGTGGAGGCAGATGTTACATTAAACTGTAAGGCCATATCAAAGTCATGTTCTCCTTGTTCCTTTTGCAGTTTAACAATAAATTCTTTTACTTCAGCTGTAGAGAATGATTTCTCGAAATCAGATAGAATCTTGCTCAATTTGTTGGTTACGTTTATATGATTGTCACGACTTTCTTTGTATCTCTGTAGTGACACATATATATTATCCCTAAGAACATTGATGGAATCTACATATAACTGACATTTTGATTTTGTATACTCCAAAATAGAAATAATTGACCAATGCCTGTATTTTGTATTATTAAGATATTCTAAAATAATAGACTCAAACATCTTGAAAAAAGGAAGAGATGATAAGTTGTTAATTCATGTAAATAACTCTACATATGAAAAACTAACAGGAAACACAGTCAGCAGTATACTGGTACACAGCATACAGAGATCAGGCCTTAAGCACTTGCACTCAAGTACTTCCCTGTAGACTGCCTCCAAGCATCTGACACAGGACATATTGGCCACATGCCAGTAGGTATACATAATGCATTCTAACAACTAGCATGCAGGAATCAGTCCTTGAACACGTTCTCAAGTACCATCTTGCAGACTAGCATCAAACATCTAATGCAGGACGTATTGGCCATACGCTAGTAGGAATGCACGCAACTGATAGCATATGGTGCCAATCATCTATAGACATCAAATGCTGCGCCATTTGGTGAAATTTTTTCATGAGAATCATTCCTTTTAT